CATACTGCTGCCGGCTTTCTTTTTGTATGCGATTTGTTTTTGTGCCATTTATGCCGTCGTCCTAATCCTCCTGCTCTCAAAATGCGTGCGCCTGATGCGCTCCTGCTCCTCCTCGCTGTCCTGCCTCTCCTGCTGACCTCCGTACGCGGAACCCTCGCCCCGGACAGCCAGAAATCGAAGGGAAAACCCAAGGAAAGTGCGCTGCGTGGCGGTCCGCAAGACGTTGATGTTTTCGATCTGAAACTGGTGAATCCCGAGCCGCTGGCCAAGGACATAGTCGCCCACCATCGGGGGTATTTCAAGGAGACGGGACTGAGGCGATTCAATGGCACCACTTTGGGTTATGTGACTCCAGTAAGTACTTAAATTCCTTTGTTTATTTCCAGTAGTTACATTGTTTACTTTGCTTTTCTAGTGGAACTCCCATGGCTATGATGTGGCCAAGATCTTTGCCAAGAAGTTCGACATCATCTCGCCCGTTTGGCTGCAGATTGTGAAGCAGGGCGATCGTTATGCCGTCGCAGGAACCCATGACATCGATGCGGGATGGTTAAGCGATGTGCGGAGGAAGGGAAAACAGGCCCACAATCAGCGAACAGTAAAGGGTATTAGGTTGATAAAACCCCTTTCTGCAATCTCCTACTTATGAAACCTGCAATTTCAGTCTTTCCCCGCTTCATCTTCGATCACTTCACCGATCGGGACATCAAACTCTTGCTTAGCGATGCCCAGGAGAGGACGAAGGTGAACGAAGCGCTAATCAAATGCTGCAAGGATAATGCCTTCGATGGCCTCGTCCTGGAGGTGTGGTCCCAGCTGGCTGGGCGCATAGATGACAAGATTCTGTACGCATTGGTGCTGCAAATGGGTGGGTTTATAGCACACACTGTAAAAAACGTGTGTTATTAACATGTTAAAGGTCAAAGTGTTAAGTTCAAAAAAAGTTATTAACTTGTGAGAGTTAGAAACATAAATAACACACACATGCCATTTGTGTTATTTACATGACGTGTTTTTTACTCAGCGTGTTTTTAACACAATGAGTTTTTGACATTGAAGTGTCGGAATTGTATGTTGAAATGAAAAGTTCACGGTTTTCTAGAGTGAGTGTGTAAAAAAAAGTCGTGTTCATAACACATTGTGTAAAAAGCACAAGTGAGCTGTGAGTGTTAACTATTATTTTTAACATTTTAACACTTTTGTATTTGACACACATATCAACCATTTTGTTCACACTGTAAAAAACCATTTTTCATGTTTTTAACATGTGTGTTACTTTCCGAAACCTGGTTTAATCGTTTAAAAAGTGTATTACTCATTATTAATCAATCGATATGATGTTAAATCCCTAGCCAAGGAACTCCAGAAGCAGCAGCTGCGCCTCATCCTGGTCATACCGCCCTTTCGCAAGGATACCGGGAATCTTTTCGGGGAGAAGCACATGGATAAGCTGTTCAAGCACATATTCGCCTTCTCCCTAATGACCTACGACTTCTCCAGCGTTCAGCGACCGGGAGCAAATGCTCCCCTCTACTTTGTCCGCAAGGCGGTGGAGACAATCGCCCCAGAAGGTTGCGCTGACATGGCTGCAAAGCGAGCCAAAATTCTGCTGGGTTTGAATATGTACGGCAATGATTACACGCCCGATGGCGGCGGACCCATCACCTTTTCCCAGTACTTGGATCTGGTGAGGCATGTGAAGAAGCATTTGACTTATGATGAACGGGATGTCGAGAATTTCTTCGAAATCAAGTGAGTTTCTACTGACTGGAGCTTAAAGAAAAGCTGTTAATATTGCTGCATTTTCAGAAACGATGACGGTCGCCACATTGTCTTTTATCCCACCCTCTACTCCATCAACGAGCGAATAAAACTGGCCCAAGAGCTGGGCACTGGCATTTCGATCTGGGAACTCGGTCAGGGCCTAAACTATTTCTACGATCTCTTTTAGTTAGCTTTGTATTCTAAGTAGCATGCAATGCACAATACATATTCCAAATAAACTGTCCGCTTTTAACCAACGTATTTTTTGTATGATTAAGAAATAATAAAATTTAATTAAAACAAAATTAACACAATTTTTTTAAATAGCGCGCTATTAAAAAATCTTTCAGCCCTGGTAAAGTAATCAAATTTGGCAAGAACAATTTAAAAATTAAATAGGGGGATTCCCAAAACTGTTGAATTGCTGAATTGTTGAAAATTCAACAAAAAATTTCAGCAATTAAGGGAACGACCCAAAATGGTTCCTGTTGAATTTTCAAACAGCTGTTATTTGTTGAAAAGTTTCACGGAACTTAAAGCATGTAAAATTTGATTTATTTTTGCTAGTTACTGTCTAAAGGTGTTACCAAGGTAAAAAGAACGACAAATATGCTTTCTAAGTTGATTTTAAAATAAATAATGCGTACTGGTGATACTAAATGTTACAGAGTTGCCACGACTTTTAAAAAAGGTGACAACTCTGGCTTTTCAGCAATTCAACAAAATTTTCAGCAGCCCCGAGGCTGATGAATTGCTGAAATTTCTGAAAGTTGACTTTGTATGGAACAGCTGATTAACAGCTGACCAAAATTAATCAATTCAGCAATTCAACAGTTTAGGGAATCCCCCTAATAATTTATTTATTTAAAAAATTTACAAATTAATAATCCTGCTCATCGATACTATCTTCCAAGCATGTTCACTGGCCTATCGATACTATCGCGAGTGGGCGTACCAGCTCTAAACGGATGGCTCTGCCATTTCGTTTTTGTCTTCACCCCAATAAAGTTGATAGACCTACAAGTAAGTTTTCTAAACTTAATTTTTGTGGGAAATAATTGGTTTAAAAGTAGAGTAATTATGCTTTTGCACAGCCAGAGTAATGAAAAATGTTATTAGCTATTTTGAATTGAAAATTTCTAAACGATGGGGGTTTTTTCTAATAAAAATTGATTTGCCCCTTGGGACACCACGTGTTTCAAAATGGCGACTTAAGAAAAATGCTTGTGGAATATGATGAATTAAGAACAGAAAATACTGGGATTATCTATTATAACTTATATATACTTATAACTAACCTCACCTTTTTTCTCCAGAATGGCGGACGCAGCTCCAGCCCGTAGTGGTTTCCGTGGCGGATTTGGCTCTCGTGGTGGTCGTGGTGGACGCGGTCGTGGCCGTGGACGCGGCGCCCGCGGACGTGGCGGCAAGGAGGACTCCAAGGAGTGGGTGCCAGTCACCAAGCTAGGACGCCTGGTGCGCGAGGGCAAGATCAAGTCTCTGGAGGAGATCTACCTGTACTCTCTGCCCATTAAAGAGTTCGAGATCATCGACTTTTTCCTGGGATCCGCTCTGAAGGATGAGGTCCTGAAGATCATGCCCGTCCAGAAGCAGACGCGTGCTGGTCAGCGTACCCGTTTCAAGGCCTTCGTCGCCATCGGCGACAACAACGGCCACATTGGACTGGGCGTTAAGTGCAGCAAGGAAGTGGCCACCGCCATTCGCGGCGCCATCATCCTGGCCAAGCTGTCCGTGGTGCCCGTGCGCCGCGGCTACTGGGGCAACAAGATCGGCAAGCCCCACACCGTGCCCTGCAAGGTCACCGGCAAGTGCGGCTCCGTCTCCGTGCGCCTCATCCCCGCGCCCCGCGGTACCGGCATCGTCTCGGCCCCCGTGCCCAAGAAGCTGCTGACCATGGCCGGCATCGAGGATTGCTACACCTCGGCCCGCGGCTCCACCGGCACCCTCGGCAACTTCGCCAAGGCCACCTATGCCGCCATCGCCAAGACGTACGCCTACTTGACCCCCGATCTGTGGAAGGAGATGCCCCTGGGCTCCACCCCCTACCACGCCTACTCGGACTTCCTGTCCAAGCCCACGGCTCGCCTGCACGCCGATGCCTAAGCGAGCGCACCAGCGAGGCCAAGCAATCCAGAGTTTTTGAATAAAGTCATGAACCTTAAAATATAAATTGATAGCTTGTCTTATTGTGGGGGAAACAATGTACCTATTGGGCAGAGTTGTTTTGTAATGAATTTGTAATTTCATTAGCATTAAAAAAAAGTAATGCTAATGAAATCGGGTTTCGTTATAATTAAAAAAATTAAATGCTTAATAATAATTTACTTTTGTGCAGAGTTGTGCCCAATGAAATACTTTTGTATTAAATTGGTAATTTCATAAGCAGTTAAAAAAGTAATTCATTCTAATGAAATCGGGTTTCATTATAATTCAGTAAAAAAAGCTTAATAATGAAGTCCTTTTGAAAAATTAATGCCAAAGAAATTTTAATTCATTACTTTAAAAAAGTAAAGTAAGTTGTGGAATATCATTGCATTACTTTTCAAAATAAAATAGTTAATGCCAATGTAATGAAAAAATATTTCATTACATTTGAAAATTTCAATTTCTAATGCTTATTTTTCAGTAAAAATAATAGTGGTAATTGAACATTTCTAAATAAATAGAAATATAAATAAATAAATATAATTCACAAAATGAAATGCTTAATAATCAATTACTTTTGAAAAAGCAATGCCAATAAAATGTTAATTTATTACTTTAAAAAAAGTAAGGCCAATGAAATAGCATTGCAAAAAAAATAATGGTAATGAAAAAAGATTTCGTTACGTTTGAAAAATAATTAGACATCGGATTTTAAAGGAAATCTTATTTTTTTTAAATATGATTGAAGCTACATTAGGTTAGTTAAAAGTTTTTACAAAAACCTCAATTGAGTTTGGCCTAAATCTAATTATAACTTAATAAATACAATTTGTAACCAATCAAATGTGTTTTTAAATCGTATTTAAAAAAAATAATTTCACCTAAAATCCGATGTCTAATAATAATGGTAATTGAACATTTTCTAATTAAATAGAAAATATCAGCCCTTCTTAGATGAAACTAGCTTTGTGATAGTTGAATTCAGATGCCAAGACAACTGGTAAATTGATATACCCAAGCAAAGAAACCCCTATTTATGCCGCTTAAAGTACATTTATATTTAAAACATTACACTTAAGATAGGAAGATCTACGCCTTCACGCCGTAGGCCTCTGGCATTCGCTCAATCGCGTACTTGTGCGCCGCCACGTACATGATGGGCACACCCGGAATCTTGCGGATGCGGTTCTTCAGGTCCTTGTCGTTGGTGGCCACGATGTAGCACTTGTGCTGGCGCACCCGCTCCACCAGGCAGTCGTCCGCATAGGTGCCCTTGTGCAGGCAGGGCAGTCGCTCGAATCTCGGATCGGAGATGATGCGCAGGGCCAGCTTGTACTTGTTGCCCAGCTTCTCCAGCTCGGCGCGCACACAGTCGGAGATGTAGGGTATGCACTTGGCGTACAGGCAGTCCATCATTCCCTGCACAATGTCCAGTTTGTTCTTGATGCTGAAGTTGATGAAATTGGTGTCCAGAACGATGTGATAGGGCGGACCCAGCTGCGTGTTGTACTGGAAGAACAGGGCGGAGCTCTGCTGGGTGGCCTCGTGCACCTTTAGCTGGTGCGGATCCTCGGCCTTCTTCCTTTTTACCCGAATCTGATCCTTGATTCGGGCATCCGTGGGCTTCATCATGCGTTTCAGTTGCGCCGTGCGCTGTTTCTTAGCCTTTTGCGTCTTCTTTTGCTTTCCCTGTAATGTTAGGAAACCAGTTAGGATCGGAAATCTATATAATAAATGAGTAATTACCATTGTGAGGTGTAATTTCTATAAAAATGTAAACAATGTAAATAAAAAAGGGACACACGTGCGGAACTATTTTGGTGATCAGCTGTTTTGGTTTGAACAGCGATGATTTGATTAAACTATCGATTGCAGCTATCGGCAGTTTGAAAAAAGTTAATTTTGTTTGTGCTTTATGGTAATTAAAATTAATATTTTTTATTTACTAATTTAGATTTAATTTAAAATGAGATATTTTCGAGATTATACGATTTGGTTAGACTATCGATATACCTAATTTTACCAATACGATAGTTACAATGTTGCATGATGGCTGATCGATAGTTCGCCGCCATTTTTACATATACTTTTCCTTCCACGTGCATTTCTAGATGCTCGCTCACTTTTTTTCGAAAACTCAAAGGAAATGGTAAGTCCGCTCGAGCTCCGGTAAAATTTCAATTAAATTAAATTTAAAGTGAATTAAATAAATCAAAGTGTTATGCCTCAAATGATGAGACTGATGACGAGACTGAAGGAACATTTTCTCGACTTTGCATTGTATCTTTCAGTGCTTCGTTGAATTATATTTGTTCATTTAAGATGAATCGGCAATCTGATGGCATATAACTTTAATAAATTTGTTAACTAGTTTTGGGTAGAATGTGTGCTAACGGCTGGTTATTTCTTGCAGTGAGAACTTTTGAACTTTGAACTAACCATTTGGTTAAATTGAAATCGGAGAATGCCATATGCATGTGAGACACCTCGGGACAACATGTGAGGTCGTTGAGACACCTCGGCACATGAGACTTCTGGGGACACTTTCCACATTGGAGGTAAAATATAAACATATTTAAGTAATTTCTGCTATTGTGATGAACTTTTACACAGACCTGTACCGAGAGCTAGACTCGTGTGGAAAACTGTAAACTGATAAAATAAAAAAATATATATTTTTTAATCATTTATATTATTTGGTATTAATCAGCCATTTTTCTTTCGTTTTAGGGTACGCCACAATTCCAATGCTGAAATGGCCGTTTGAGGTTAAGTTCGGCTGAGGTTACATCGAGCACATGGATAATTCCAAGGAAGGTATGTATTTCACCCTTGATTTATAATTCCAGTCTAGTAATGTTTAACTGATGATTACCTTTAACACCTTTTGCGGTTTCCACCAGAAGGCTTCGGCCTAAAGATGGGCTAAGGCGTCTGATTAAAACATTTACTAAATTCTATGAACACATTTTGTTTCTTATCTTACTTATCCAATCCTCTTTTTAATTTTTCAGAATAACTCTGGCATTTGCTGAGAAAAGGATATCCAATTCCAAGAATGATGGGAAAGACTTTATTTAAAAGGTAATATTTTATACATTTTTTTTTATTTTTGTAAAGCGATAAAATGATGATTACCTTCAACACCTTTTGCGGTTTCCACCAGAAAGCTTCGGCTTAATGATGGGCTAAGGCGTCTGATCGCTTCTCTGTAAAAAATATTCTTAAAACTTAATTAGACATAAATCTAACATTATTCTTTACTTTAATTTCAGGATTGTGGCTGACCAGAAATTTTATAACAAAGATATCTTTTGGATGGCGTTATATACACAATTAAAAAAAAATAAATAAATAATAACCCCTTATTTTTCTTGCATTTATTATTTATGGTGGGGTTATACTAAGGGTTAAAAATTACAAATGTGAAGCATTATGTTTTGTAAAGATTGGTTAAGAAAATCCAATGAATAGACTTTACTTGGAATGCCATTGACCTGCAGATCCATATATGTTTTATTATTGATAATTATGAACCACTGAAGCATTTTTTACACTTTCAAAGCACTTAGCAAATGGAAGCTAATTATAAAACAAACACCTCTTTCTTAAAAAAGAAAGTTTTCAGCGTAATGAGTGGAAAAGATTAAGGCAACGTGTAGATATATATTTTACTGATTTATTATAGTGCTTTAAAAAATAAAGATGTTTTCAAAACTACCCGCCTAATTACCATCCCTATTTTACCACCCCCACCCCCGATATCGATAACATGGAAAATGAGACGCGCCGGTTTAATCAAACCGCTGTTGCGCCTAAATAACAACAATTCGCGTGTCTGGAGGAAAAACTACGCCACCCAAGTGGATACCAACTTGGCGGAGTGTTCACTGGACCCCAAGGAGTATGTGGACTTCAAGCGGCATCTGCGGCAACTCAACTTGCCCCACAAAGATGGACACACGTGCTTGCAGCTGGAGTGCCGCCTGTGCGAGCGCAACAGGCAGCCGGCGACGAACGGCCAAAAAGGCGGCGACCAAGGGCAATTGGCTTACGTAAACAAGCGGACGGGTGAGTGGGTTAAGTACTAGTCCTAGCGATACCTCTTATATAAACCATTTCCCCCTAGGAGCATTTATCTGCCCCAATTGCGATGTGAAAACCTCACTGGCGAATGCGCTGATGGCCTATCAGTTGCCCACGCCGGTTGGCTACAGGCGACCCCCGCAAAGGCAGCCGCTCCATGAATCCCGATTCCCCCACCTCGTCGCTGTGACCCCCGAAGCCTGCGAAGCTCTGGGCATCAAGGGTTTGAAGGAGGACCAACTGAATGCCATTGGAGCTCAGTGGGAGCCGCAACACCAGCTGCTGCACTTCAAGTTACGCAATGCCGCCCAAATGGTGGTGGGTGAGAAGGTGTTATATCTGGCCGATCGACGGGAGGAGACCTTCCAGGACAGCTCCAGTTCTGGGCTCCTCATCCATGGAGCGGCGAACAAAACCAAAGCGGTTCTAGTCAGCAATCTAATGGACTTTATGGTCCTCGCCACACAGAATATCGAAACGCGTAAGTCTTGAGTCCTATTTTATTTTACGGGTTATTATTTAACTCTCTTTAAAGCCTTTAATCTTGATACAAAAATCCTGATAAAAATATTTGAGCTATTCACTTCTATTCCTGAAGCTTTTTATTTTACGGTATATATTTCAACTCTCTTTAAAGCCTTTAATCCTGATACAAAAATAAATAGAGCATGTCTTAAGAATATTTAAGCTATTTACTTCTATTCCTGAATCATTTTTTTTTTTACGGGATATCATTCAACTTTAGAGAGCATGTCTTAAGAATTTTTGAGCTATTTAGTTTTATTCCTGAAGCATTTTTTTTACGGATTATCAATAAACTCTCTTTAAAGTCTTTAATCCTGGTACCAAAAATATATAGAGCATGTCTTAAAAATATTTAAACTGTTTACTTATATTCCCAGAGCATTTTATTTAACGGGTTATCATTAAACTCTCTCTTTAAAAAATATATAGAGCATGTCTTAAGAATATTTGAGCTATTCACTTCTATTCCTAAAGCATTTTATTTTACGGGTTATCATTTAACTCTTTTTAAAATCTTTATTCCTGAAACAAAAAATGTATTAAACATATTTGAGCTATTTACTGCTATTTTTAAAGCATTTTAAACTTTACAAATTTAAATTTATAATTAAAATGACCCTCAATAAATCTTCTAATAATTCTTGTCCCTCAGATTGCGTTGTCTGCCTGCCTCACGACTTGAAGTTGCTGCCGCAGGAGTGCCTGCCTGGCCTGGAGCGCTTTAAGGAGCTGATCTTTTGGCTGCACTACGATGCCACGCACAGTTGGGATGCAGCTCGTGCGTTTGCGCTGAAAATGGACGAACGGAGGTGCCTGCTGATCCGACCCACCGAAACGGAACCGGCACCCCACTTGGCACTGCGCCGACGCCTCAATCTGCGCCACATCCTGGCCAAGGCGACGCCGGTGCGGCACAAGGCGATCACCACATTCGGTGCGATGAGGAATGACATTCTCAGCGAGTTGCAGAACATCGAGAAGGTGAACGGTGTGAAGTGGAAGCGCTTTCCGGTGCTGAACAAGCTGCTCAAGGGTCATCGCCGGGGAGAACTGACCATTCTCACTGGGCCAACGGGCAGCGGAAAGACGACCTTTATGAGCGAGTACTCCCTGGATTTGGCCATGCAGGGAGTTAGCACGCTGTGGGGCTCCTTCGAGATTCGGAACACCCGGCTGGCGGCCACGCTGCTGCGTCAGTATGTCGGCTATCCGCTGGACGACCGGTTGCAGGAGTTCAACCACTGGGCAGCGGAATTCGAGCGCCTGCCGCTCTACTTCATGACCTTCCACGGCCAGCAGCCGCTTAAACCCGTGCTGGAGGCCATCGAGCATGCATCCTATGTGCACGACGTGATGCACGTGATCATCGACAACCTGCAGTTCATGATGGGCGTCGCCACGTATCGTGGTGATAAGTTCTGGGAGCAGGACTCCATAATAGCAGCCTTTCGCTCCTTTGCCACCAAGCACAATGTGCACGTCACACTGGTCATGCATCCGCGAAAGGAGCGGCAGGAGGACGAGCTGACCACCAGCTCGGTTTTCGGAACAGCGAAGGCCACCCAGGAGGCGGACAACGTGCTGATCATCCAGGACAAGCGGCTGACCTCGGTGAGGGGTAAAAAGTATCTGCAGATAGCCAAGAATCGTTATTCCGGCGATCTGGGCATAATGCCACTGGAATTCGACAAGGATGCGCTCAGTTACTCCTCGCAGAAGCGAAAGACTTGACACTTTTAAGGCATTTGTTGTACTATACGATATAATTATACTGTTGTCTATGGCTAGGTTAGGCTTAAGTGAATCCCCGGATAAACCGCATCACGTTGAGCTCTGCTTGTAGTTCTTGGTGTTCATGATCTTCTTGCCGCACATGGCGCAGATGGCCTTCTTGTAGGCGCACGCCTGGCAGTAGTGGGCTCCCATCTGGTGGACCTTCTGCCGGCAGATCCTGGAAAGGTATAACTTTGTTTTTATGTGATTTGAGGTGTTTTTGTGGGATTTTCCTCACCGGCAGGGCGCCAAAGCCGTTCCTATGGGATTATATCGCTCGCGGGCGGAGGATAATGCCTTGTTTTCGTTGATTTTTCGACCGCCGGCTGGCGCCGTACTGGTTCTCCAGGGATTCGGGGCGGAAACTTTGGACAACTTGGCCTCGCACTTCTCGCAAACCATTTTTTCTTATCAATATGTTTTTTATGGTGGAAAAACATCGATGAAAAAATCGATGCAGTATATCGATTAACATCGATTAATACAAGTTTGTTATCGGAACTATCAGTTTTGTAATAAACAAAGTGATTAATAAATATTAATATTTTAAAAATATATAATTAATTTAAAAAGTGTATAAAACATTCTCTCGTTACAGTTATTAAAAGGAATTCCCTTAAAAAGTATTAATTTCCGATTGTTAGCCCCAATTTCTATCGAAATCTTGAGTTATCGGCCATCTCAATTGCAAATTGCAAGGAAAAACAGCAAAAATGACGACGGCGAAGAACGACCAACTAAGGTGAAATTACAATAAATACATATTCAATAAAGTCAGAATTTTAATGCCCTATGTTCTCCAGGCAACAACTAATAGCAGCGGTTGTGAAGAAACGAGCGGCGATTGCGCGGGCTCATGAAATCGTGGTGCGACTTTTGGAGCCCGGAATACCGGAGACCGAGTTCCTGTCCCTGGTAAAACTATGCTAATTTAAAGCTAAACGAGGAGTATTAACCTTTTTCTGTACTTGCAGCTCTGGGAGATTGGCCCCCCGAATTATTCAGACATTGTGGATGAGCGGGAAATAAACAAACTGTGTGGATATCCGTTGTGCTCTAAAACTTTAGAGAAGTAAGTGTTGCTATAGGAATTTAAAGATTTATCTTTAAAAATTCTACTTTCAGCATTCCCAAGCAAAAGTACACCATCTGCGCTTCAAAAAACAAGGTGTACGACCTCACAGAACGCAAGAAATTCTGCTGCGGCTACTGTTTTAAGGCCTCGGAATACATCAAATCCCAGGTGCCCACATCGCCATTGTGGCTACGAGATCGGGAGACGAAAGTCAGCTTCCAATTGCTGCCCCGCAACACTTGACCTTCAAATGCAGCTCTCCAAGCGTTTATTTATTTCGTATAATAAGCATTAAGACCATTCTTTTCATTACATTACTGGATTTTCGATGTGGGATTATGAACCCTGGGGAATATTACTTAAAGCACTAGTCGATCTGGCTTAGATCATGATTATATTGTCGCGCTCTAACGTCAGCTCAGCCTCGCGCTTGGCATCCTCTTCCGACCACTCGCCGCACTTGCTCAGCACGTCGGTTTCCCGCGGCGGTTCGGTCTAGAGTTGCAGGAAATTGTGTAGATTTAAACAGCGAAGAAGACACGCGCAGGTGGAATGATATATAAGAATGTTGTACTTTATTTGGCTTTAATTTGGCTATACCTCTTTGTCGTTGGCAGCCAGTTTGGTGAACATGTTGGCGTACAGCTTCTTCTCCTTGTCCTTGCTTTCCTTGAGCTTCTGCTTGCAGATGATCACTTGGTTGGCGGCCGCCTTGTTGCCGGGCTCCAATTGGATGACCTAACAGAACAGAAAGCTTTATAATAAAGGCCATAACTTAACGCTGAGTCTAACCACCTTTTGGAAATCCTCCAGGGCATCGTCCAACTCATTGATGGTCAAGTTGCATTGACCACGACGATAGAGAGCCTTCACATTGCTCTGATCCAAAGCCAAAACCTCGTTACACTAAAGCATAAATAAAATTAATTATTGAAAGCAACGTGTTTACCCCAAGAACCCACCTCCTGCTTGGCTTCGAAGTGATCGTTGGACTTCTGGTGGCACAGAGCAATGTTGCTGTGCGTGGCCACCTTGACCTTCTTCACCTCCTCGTTGGTATCCGCCGTGTTTGGCAGCAGATTCTTGCACTTGGTGTACATCTTGATGGCCAGGGCCCAGTTCTCCTTCTTGAAGTAGTTGGTGCCCTTCTCCTTGTACACTTTGGCCTCCGCCAGGCGCTCCTCGTCGCTCAGCTTCCACTCCTCCAGCCCCTTGCCACAGTCGAGGAGCTTCACTGTATATTCCACCGCGGAATTGGGTGGGATTTTAAACTCCTCATTGCCCTCGGCTCCAAATGCATACTTGGCTTGAATTTTGATTCTATTTTTGGGGGGCTTTCATTTAAATACTGATCGGTTATTTTTATCTAAGCGTTTTACCTGGAAGTCTCGCCTATGTTCATCTTCTCCAGGGCAATCTCCACGCCCTCGATAATGCCGATGGCCTTGCCCTCGCCATAGTCAAACTCCACATCGCGATCCTCGAACACGCGGTCTCCGAATTTACCAGAAATGTGAGCTGTATTTAGGAAACCGCATAAGATATAGTTAACCGCATAGACGTGATAAACGAACCCTTGACGAAGGCACCATCGCTGGGAGTGCGCTTCTTATCGCTGGCCTCCAAAATGGTGCGGTCAATGCTGCCATCCTGATTGGGACTCAGATCCTCGCCCTTCCAGCCCAGCATTTCCAGCTAAGGGGGAGAGATTAAAAGGATTTCAGCAGAGTGGTAAATGTTCTTTGAAAAATTGAATTAAAATATGTACAAAAAATGGATGAAACTTAGGCATATCAAAATGTAAGAATAAAACTTAGTAAAAAATAAGGATTGTTTTAGAAAATTTGTAAGATTTTGATTTAAAGTATTACTTGTTTTAATACTAGGATTTACGGGGTTTATTTTTTTTTAACCATATTAAAATTTAAAAATAAAACTCAGTAAAAAATAAGGATTGTTCCAGAAAGTTCTTAAAATGTTGAATTATTTTATGGAATATTTCTAGAAACCATTTCAAAATTAAAAAAATAAAAATCAGTAGAAAATAAGGATTGTTATAGAAAATTCTTAAGTTTTTGAATTAAAGTATCACTTGTTTAAAGACTAGGGATTATATGGAATATTTATTTTAACCATTTCAAAATTAAAAAAAAATAAAAATCAGTAGATAATAAGGATTATTTTAGAAAGTTCTTAAGATTTTGAATTAAAGTCACTTATTTTAAGATTAGGGATTATGAGGAAAATATTTTTTATTACCATATCAAAATTTAAAAATAAAAATCAGTAGAAAATAAGGATTGTTCTAGAAAATTCTTAAGAATTTTGAATTAAAGTATCAGTCATTTTAAGACTAGTAATTATGGGGATTATTTTTTTACACTTATATTATATGTTACGATTCCTACCTCAAAGATCAGAGTGGCATCCGGTGGAATGGCGGGCGGGCTGCCGGCAGCCCCGTAAGCGTAATTCGGAGCACATGTGAGGAAGCAGCGCTCGCCCAGCTTCATGGTGGCCACTCCCATGTCGAAGGCCTTGATCACATTGCCTGGAGGAGTCCGCAGGTAGGGTTATCAATTCAGAATTTCGAACTTTCGCGAAAACTCACCTTTGCCGAGCGGAAATTCGAAGGGCTCATTGCGGCCGACGCTGGAATCGAATTCCGTGCCATCGACCAGGCGACCCGTGTAGTGCAGGGACACTGTGCAGCCGCTGTGCGGCGTCTCCGTGCCCTTGCCCTCCTGCAGGATCTCCTTCAGGACGCCGCCGTCCCCGGACAAGTCGATTTTATTTTCTTCCGGCATTTTTCCTGTTCAATCTCGCTTTGCCCCTTTTTTTTTGTTCATGCTATCAGTGTGACCGATGGGTATGTCCAATTTTACCCCTATCCAGGAGGCGCCCTCTGGCGGAAGTGTCTGCAACTGTCAGCAGAACTCTGGTCATATGAATGGAAATTGGGTAGGGAACTTTGATAAAAAAATTAGCAAGGAATTAGACCCTTTCTACATGTAACGTATAACAAAATATTAAAAAAAAGGAGATTAATAATTAATATTAATATCCTATAAAACTGATTCGAGTATAAAAAAAGTCAACATAAGTTCAAAGGGAGTCTTCACAATCGGTTTGTTTATCCTTTGAATCTTGAAAAATATTATAGACTGAATTAGTTCATACGAAAATAGTAATGTATTTTATCCTACCTTTTTCAAGGTTTTATCCCTACTTTAAATTTAACATACGGATAAAAAAACGGCCATTTATGCGATGCTCATTTTCATCTTTTTCAATAAATAGTGAACCAATTTTATGCTTTATACTTGACACGTATTTAGAAAAATAAGTATTATTTGAGTGATTGTTATTAGAATTAGAAATTGAATTTCCCTTTTCACTACCAATCAGTTTTAGCTCAAATAATTCGTTTCTTTTTGCATACACGAATAAGTAATAGGCACTGACTGGGTTAATCCATTTAAACCCCAATTAATGAAATTAAAGCCCGTCTCTTGTCCATTTTATTGTGATGACTGCGACCTACACACACACAGTGCCGCACAAATATAAGCTGCCCAGCGGGCTTTCAATGCATGTGCATCCTTACAAATGTGTGCTGTGTGCATCAAATATAATCCTGTTATCGTTTTTGTTATATTTGATTATTTTGCCCTTGGCTTTTGGCAGTGCCAAGTTCCATTTTGTATTCCAGCAAGAACAACAAAATAAATTAATGCACTTAATTTTATTGGTTTCTATAATTCATGCTCGTAAGCTCGCTAGCCATAAGCTCTGCACAGTAGGGCAATTGGGGGATTTGGGCACTGGACATTCGGCGATTTTTTCAAGGTCAACTGGGATGATGATAAAAATGATAAGAGCGTATTTGAAGGCAGAATTAATTAGGCCACACGCTGTGACGTTATCTTCAGTGATGTCCTTATAAATCGGTGCAGCTGTCGCTGACTCTTGCTCACTAAATTATTAGCCAGTCATCAACCAGCGCTTCAGCCGAGCTTCGGCTTCTGAAAGCCCAGAGTTTGGCACACTTGTCGCTCATTAATTAGGATTCGTCAGCTTGGATGACTACACGGAAAAATGTATACGAAATTTTTAAAATATTTTAATTAAATTAAATATATAGGAGCCAAAACTGCAAGCTAAATATTTTTGAATCTATCTATCTTTCAAAGTCTAAGATATTTCTGATTATACAGACATATATACTTTCCGAATAAGAACTCGATAATGAATAGCCACATTTCGAACCATTTTTTAACAGTAACCTAAAAATACGAAACGTATACGTAATATTATTAAGTATACGTTCTTTGAAATTTAAAGCCTGCGATTAAATCGCGTAAATTTTTTTCTAAACTAAAAAGAAATACTTAATTAATAAATTATATAGCCTATTATAAATCCATGCTTGGTGTTAAGACTTTAGCCTTTTACTTCGGTACTTTTTCATCAGATTTCTTTGCTCAAAATATGTCAGCATATGAGATTCGGAATCTCCAGAGATTTCTCTGGCACCCTCGAAAGAAGCATATTAATTTTTTTTTGAGTGCCTGGTGCCGTGTCCACGTCCAGGTCCATTATTTTTTCAGGTATAGAGACATTGACCAGCGACGGCCGCCCACACTCACGCTGTCGCAGTTGGCGTCGCTCGTTACTCGACTGTAAACATTCCAGGGCAGCTTTCACTCGGGGATTGAGTACGGAATACACAGGAGGCTGTCGTCCTGCAGGCAGCTCACTCGTGGGCCAGAAAAACTCACTCGAAATTACTCGGCTACAATCGGGCATCGGCTGGAAGCTTCGTTTGCCGTTTCGGATTCGAGCAACTGTGGATGCTGCGTGGTTCGTGGTCCATGGCCGTGTGAAAAGCTGCGTTGAGCGCATTAAGTCGTTAGGGTACAACCAGACAGGACGCACTTTCTACTTTCTCCGAGCTGCCGCCATTCGCCTGCCTTGGCGTGTGTGTACCGTTAGTTCAGCTGTCCTGTGCTCTGTGTCCTGTGCAGATAGAGGGAAATTAGCGGGCAAGTCCCCACATCTCGGAATCGCAGTCAAAGTCAAAGTCAAAGCCAAACGACAAAACCCAATCGAATAGAAGTTGAGTGCGTGAATAAACTTCAAAAAAAAAGAAATTAAAGAAAGAAATACTCTAATACTCCCTCCCGCGTACAACTGTGTGTGTGTAAGTGTCGTCTGTGCGTGTGTGCGTGCGTTTCCGTTTCCCCAAAAACTTCAGTTCAGAGAGTGTGTTCATCAACAAGAAATAAATTCAAATCAAATAAAATTAAGCACAAGAAAAATACAAGCGACAACTAAAAAAATTGCATTAAACGATGGCCAATTAAAAATGTTTGCTTAAACGAACCAAGGTAAACAGAAACAGCAAAATTGTTGCTTCCCCCCTGCATCCCTCCGCCTCTTCACTTTTCCGATTTTCCACTTTTCACTTGCACTGCGGTGCAACAGCTTACGATTTTTCGCACTCAATATTTCGTGTAATTGTTGCGCCTGCTGCTGTTCTACATGTCCTGCGATTGGGGAATTGTTGAATTTCCTTTTCCAAGGACCTGGCTTCGGGAAAATTAAAATTATTTAACGAGCGTCTAGTGAGCAGTTCGAACTTAAATATTCTGACCAAATACCATATGAAATACCACAATTTCTGGCTGGCGATTTTATTTAGCTCCACTGGATTTTGTTATTTTCGAAATATTTTCGTTTGCCCTGGTAAAATTTAGTTAGCTGGAAAATTTCGTTTGATTTGTGGCAAGCCACAAAGAAAATAACTGAATTTGCTGTGTGCCATAAAAATAGTGTAAACAGATGCAAGGAGAGGGCATAAAGTTGGCCAGCCAACCGCCCAATCGTAATCCAAAAACCCAACGAAGTGCAGTTCAGTTTTTCGGGGCTCGCATTTGGCTTATAAACTGTTGCTTCCGACAGTTATCTCCACGAATCGCAGCAATTTTCCCAGGCTGGCGAAGGGAAATCCCAGGCGATTTCCTTCTTCCCCTTTTTAGTTCCACTCGCTTGCACATTTTTTGCTTGGCTTTATCCCTCCTTTTGTTTTTCCTTCTTTTTTTTTTCTTTGGGTGAAGCTTTGACTGATTGTTTTATTGGAATCCAAATGGAAATCAAAATCAGAGCGACGTAAGCGCTCTTTTATAGCGATTTAAAACGCACATTTTTGTGGCTGATTGTTTGATGGGGTTGTTCGAGGGGGAGGTGGGGTTTTGGCTTTCGATTCGCTGCTGCTGCGGCGATAATTAAAATTTAATTGAACACAACTTAAATGGCGAATCCATTGTGCCGAGATTGTTGTCAGTGCTCTCGTACGAAATTGCAGTTGTGCGGTTTTCGATTCGGGTTTTTCCCCTTCCGATTTTCCTCCCTGTCCTCATGCAATTAACATTTGCACTGTTATCAATCAGTTGGTGAAAATAAAAACTTTTCTTTTAGTCATTTCCACCCACATCCTTCTTGTCTCCACTCTCCTTTCTCCTTATCATTCAATTTGGCAAAAGGGAAGAAAACTTTTCTGCCAAACTAACAACTGGCAGCCACATACACACATACATATAAGGAAAAATGTGAAAAAAAAAGAAAAAACAAGCAAAAAACAACCAGAACGCGGCGTGTCTAAGTGGGCGTAAGTGGTCATGTATATGTGCGTCTCTGTGTGCGTGTGCACATGTGAGAATATTCGTATGTGTGTGTCGTGTTGAGTGGCAAGTTGTGTACACACGCAGATTTTTCATCAATCATTTTGCTTGACTACGCCTAGTTCACATTTTAGGGCATGTAGTTTAAAAATTGGGCCGCAGCCCATCGATAGTTGGATGTTGGGATGTTGGGATGTTGGTGGTGCCACATGGTGGCACTCGGAAACATGAGACGAATGAGGCAGCTCGAATGGCGCCTCAAGCGGGAAAAGGCGGCCACCCAGGGGCTTACTGCTTTAAGTCTTTTAAAGGTCGGAAATGAAAGAGCACTCAGAAAATATTACATTTATTATATTTTCTTTTTCTTAATACAATTCAAATAATAATTCAAATAATATACGATTCGTATTCAATCAACTTTAGCTGTTATTTGTATTATCTCAAGTGTTTAGCTAATAACTCAATTAACATAAGTCTGTTAACGAATGGAATTTATTACCTTATTTATTATACGCCCATCGCATATTAACGTAATCGCCTCTGTCTCCGATGGACTCAAATATAAATACAATTTATGCTTTGTGTGTGGCTTAACCTTTCATTTCTTTTAATTTATTGAGTATTGAGTTGTTTATAAATTTAAATTAATAAATAATAAATATTTGAATTATTTTCTTTTCTCCCATTTGTATTTTCTTGTTTTAATTAACGTTTTTTATCTGCTTCGGGTCACATTTTAATCAAAATAAACTAATAGTTTAAAATGTTTGGAAGGTTGCAGCAAGCTAGAACATTATTTTCCATCGAATTTTGCAGCCGGGGGCCGTGGTTAATAAATAAATTTATTTATTCCATTGATAAATCAAAGATAGACATCGACAGTGGAAAATTGTTGAAACATTGTTTTCTAAACAAATGATATTAAAAGACTGTTTGGCTAACGAAGTTTATAACCAAGCTAAAAATCGTACTTTTATGGTTTCAATATTTCCTTTGAAAAAATCAATATTGATTAAATTAAACTTTGATAAACTTTAAGTGCCCCTTTTAAGTGCTTTTTTGAAATATGTTCACATAAATTAAGTATTGGGTGTTTGAAAAATTAAATTTCTAAAGTGTCGTTTAGAGATTATTTTGCAAGCATTGAATCATCTTTTCGTGAACTTCATTCGATGTTCGAGCAGCCTCAGGATTGTTTATGATATTTTCAAGTTGGGCTGCTTTGAATATCTTTGTCCTTTTCGATTTGGCTTCTGTCACTTTCTCTATTTTTTTTTTGTCCAGTTCGATTTAGCATTTGAGCAGACATAATAAAGAGTCGAAATGGAAAGACGTAAAGTGCGTGTGTGTGTGTGGAGATACCTTTATTCTAAACGCTAAGGACGCACAGACACAAATAAATGGAAGGCAAATACACACGCTTTGGCACACATACCGATGCAAATGGAGTTGTCGGAATTGCTCCACTTTGCGTGTGTATACACTTGGCTGTGCGTGTGTGTGTGTGGCCGTGTCTATCTGTCTGCGAGAATCCAAAATCCAAAATCCCGAATCCAACCCCCGTCATCAACCTGCACCGAAACACTTAAACCTAAACACGTTGTCTGTGTTGGTTCTGCTGCTTGTGTGTATTGGTGAGTCGTCCTGTTCGTCCTTTTTACTGGCGTCTACGCACAATATGTTTCGTCTTTAACCCAACCGAAAGCTTCGTCAGACGAGAGCTTCAAGGAGTCCTGGGTCCTGAGTCCTTGTTTCTGGTTCCTTGTGGAAGTTTTAATGTGATTCCTTCGTATTAATTTCGACATCGTCATCGTTGCTGCTGCCTGCTGCCCTTTGTCCTTCTCCCCCTCTGTCTCTCTCTCTCCGTTATTTTCTATTTTTCTCCTTACGCACTTTTTTTTTATTGCTCGTCCTGCGTTTGCCTTCGTTTCTATTTTATTTTAACAACATCTTCGTCGCCAGCATGGAATTCTGTCGAGCTCGGCGCTTTCCTCAGCACTAACTTAACCGTTACCCATCCCTCTCTCACTTTCTCCACTTTCTCTTTGGCTGTGTGCATGTGTGAGTGGCAAATTTTTTGTTTTTTCCTTTTTCGTTGCTCACTCTTTTATGTTCATCATACGAAAGCGCGACTTTGTTGCACTAAACGTAAGTTGGAAGATTTACAACTTTTTGGTTTAACACATGCAATGGATAAGAGGGGCTAGGGGTGGGAAAAGTGGGGTAGGCTGTTGGAGAGACAGTTGGGGGTGAAGGCCACGCTCAAAGTCTCACAGGAATCGCACCGCAAAAAAAAACTATCTGGGGGAATGCATGAGGTATAAACCTCATTACTTTTCGGAGTGCGGTAACCTTGCTACCGTAAAGTTATCCTTAAAAGAAAAGTTATTATGCATAAAATTCAGAATTATGCGTAGCAGCTACGCAATTTTTTTGCTTCACTTTTTATTAGTCGGAAATGTGAGAAATTGGGCAATTAGCAAAAGTCGGGAATGCTTCGGGGGTCAGCAAATATAATAGTTTACGATGGATAGGCAAAAAAAACCTGTAGGTGTAAAGTTAAAATCTTCAGTATGCGCCCTGAAAATGTTGCGAAGCAATATGAACAAGTTTCTGGCGGGTAATTACACTTTTTACGAATGTAGCTGCTGAAAACTCTCAAGTTACTTATTTTATATTGCTTGTAAGTTTGCAGTTGTAGTTGAATTTCTCCGGCTTGAGTAGAACTAAGGCTCATAAAATATACAGAGTTAATTAAAAAGCAAATATCAAAAAAAGAGCACAACAGTGAAACTTTCAAAAGTATGAAGAAGCGAATAAGAATTGGTATATCTTTGGTACCTTGTATAAATATTTATCACTTTAATACCCAAATTATTAAATGAAATATTTTTTTAATTATATTCATTTTAAAAATATTGCCTTTTTACTTGAAAATTTATGTATCCTTTTTTTAATACACATAAAAAGTCATACATTCTGAACTTAACTAAAGCTCTAGTCTATTTTAAAATCTTCCAAATATAATATGAAGGCAATCAACTTTCCAATGAAATCAATTCAGTTTCTTATAAGTGAATTGAAAGTTTATTTTTCTAAACCGGGATGTTTACTTTTTCTATTTTTCAAATAAATTAAAAACTTTCATCGACACACGTGCGTCCTGAATACGTCAAAAAATTCAACTTTGCAAATTTAAAAGCAATTATTTTAATCCTAACTTTAGATCTCGGAAATTTCACCCGTTGTCCAAGTTTCAATTGGCAAACAAAGGGGGAAAGTTTTTTAATTGCTCATTACGTCTGAATCAGGTTGCTGCACTTGCGGCAGTGGAAAAGCCGCAGATTTTCATCATACGTACATCAAAAGCATTTCTAATCAGCAGGCAGTCGGCAAAAACAACAACAGTAGCAATAACAATGGCAGAGGGGAAAGCGCAAACAAGTTGCAAGTTTACTTTTGCTTCTTTCCTGGCATTCCGTTTTTCCCCTGTTTTTTTTGCCAGCTATTGTTACGTTTGCGTATGTACGAGTAGGTACACAGAAAAAAATATAAATTACAATTATTAGAATTTGTAAACATGATTAAACTCTTACCGCTTTTAAAACAGAACACCAAAATATTATAAAAACTCTGCGCTTTTTTGTCTCTTTTTAAATGAAGGTTATTTTCAAAAAAAAATGAAACGGTTTAAAAACTATCAACATTTTTGTCTCTTTATTTGTGTGTATGTGTGCGTGGGAACTGGAGCACGTAACAACAAAAAAAAAGCGACAGACACCGCACAGAAATAGAAATCATTTGAAATCATGCCGCACTCATAAAACACTTAAAGGACAATTTTGCTGTCATACAGCAGAAAAAGGGGGAAAAGCTGCTCTGGCTGGCGCTTTTCCTTGGCAGCCTGGGGTTAATTAAATAAATTCCTAAGCCACTTTTGCCCGAGCAGCAGCTTCATAAATTTTTGAACAAATACTGCCAAAAAAAAAGGAAGACCGAAAACGAATTGGTTATACATAAATATTGGTGTGCGTGTGCTTGTGTGTGTGTATGTACGGGTTTTCAGCAAGCTTTCACCCGCAAGACAACAACAGCAAAGGGCTTGCAACAATTGGCAGGACTCCGTGTTTGGCGTGCTCTTCCAAGTGTAAACAGAAGTTGAGTTCGTCGAGTCCTTTTCCAATTCGACTCTCTTTCGCTCAAAACTGAGTTTCGTTCGGAACTCACTCAAACGTTCCATCAATGGACCGATGAGTCCTGTGCCACTGATAACAGCCGCACACACCACACACACGGACGCATCATATACGGATAGAGCTGTTTAAAAAGATGTCCTGGCACACAAAAAAATACGAAAAATACACCGATTCCTAAGAGTAACAGCGCGGAAAACGTTTGATAACGCCGCGCGCACAAAAGTGTGCTACACAAAAGCAATCTCGCTCTCTCTAACTCCCTCCTCTTCTTCTCCCCCTCTCCCCTTGTCTGTGTGAGCTTCCTGTGTTGTCCTGTGTATCGGTGTGTGGGTGGTAGTAAATAAGCAAAAGGCAAAGACGGAAATAAAAAGGGCAGCAAGTGGACAAGACAATGAAATTGTCATAAATAACAACGTTGTCTACCAACAACAGGCAAAAAAACAACAACAGCGAAAGGATAACCAACAATAACAACAACAACAACAAAGGACCAACTAGCTGAGTGACTGGGTCTCTTTTTTTCGGTGTCTCTTGGTCAGTGGCTCAACTCTTTTTATCATTTTTACCAGTTACCCCGTCCCCAGGGTATTATTCGGGTAGATTTAGTTGATGGCACTCGCCGACAAAAAATTCGGAGCTCTGAGGTGTATTTTATGAGAGAAATGCGAGAAAGTGGCGAAAGTGAAATCGGTTAACAGGGATTAGGGGTCGTTTTGGCAAAGTTCCTAAAATGAAGCGAATTTAGGTAGGACAACAAATATCAGAAACATGTTAAGAAACTGGAATAGGTCTTATATGATAGAGAAGTATTTTTTTTCAAACAAAAATATCTTAATCTTAAATGTTTCTCCAGAAATATAAAAAATATCTTTTGCATTTATATACATTTTTAACATAAATTTGTAATTGACTTTAATATTTTATTACAAATGTAAATCTTCAAGGATACTTTAAAAAACTTAGTCCTAGTTTTAATTCGATTTGGCTTAAAAACACTCTCTGTGTCATATATTTTCTTGAAATCTAAAGTTATCTAATTTCCTGGCCATCGATAACTGATTGATTTATGGGAAAAGTAAAAAAGAAAACAAACTTTTGCCTAGGAACTCACTCGAGGGACACTCATCATTCGAGTAGCTTCAGCTGGAACTCTTCTAAATGTTCGTTGATTCTACTTTACTGTATATTCCATCTCCACTCCTTTCCTTTCTATTGCTTTCATTTCTTTTCTTTTCTTTTTTTTCATTTTATTTTATATCTTTTTTAAGCTTGCCCTGTGTTCTCATAACGGATATTCGAAATGGCTGCTGCGGCGGCTTTAAGTGACTTTTGTCAAACTTTGTGCGCTCGGCTATCCAAACACTAGTACTTATAGTTATCGAAGGGGTCCAGAAGGGGTCCTGAGGGGGCAGGGAGGGGGAGGAGGAGAGGCAGGAAGATACTCACATTAAACTAATGTTTAGTTGGCAGTCGCAACAGTTTTGCGAGTGTTGCGACCCTCGAAACTTTGACCGTAAATTGTGGCACGTGATGGGCGTTTGCAATGGAATGGGATGATGTCGTATGAATCGCAATGGTGGGGAATATCAGGAAGTGCCGCGCTATGATTGTCCAGGGGGGCGTGACCGAGGCAATTGTTATTTCTTATTTCTCCAGTTCGAATTGAATTTTTATGGCCTGTGACAGTTTGGAGTGGCGGCACAATCCAGTTTATAGAATGGGCGAAATATTTATTTCTGGTCATTTATAATCGAAATCCTTTCTCATGCAACAGGCAATGAAGAGAAATAAAAAAAAAGTTTTTTTATCTTTTAAAAAATTTGGAAAAAAATCAATCAAAATTCGGAGCACTCAAAGGGCAAAGTGGAAAATCGGCAGACTGATTGACTTGCAGTAAATGAAACGAAAATACATATTCCACTCATAGTTAATATCAATAAGCATTTAACTACGTAAATATTCACATCACTATCTTACTATCTCTCTCTCTCTCTTTTCTATCTCTTTCTGGCCTGCCATACAGATAAAAATCCAATTTAAATAAAAGTTTTTTCGTAACACTCACCACATAAAGGCAATATGCAAATATTACACAAAAAACACTCAGAAAATGTTAAACAAAATTAAATGAATGCAAATTAAAAAGCACGAGGAAAAGCCAAAGCAAATAATAACAGCAACAATGTGTTCATAACTATTAAAAAAAGGAAATTAAATTAAAATAAAATTAAAAATAAAAAAGCGATAGCTTAACCGCATTATGCTAAATCGAAACCAAACCAAGCTCATCTGAATCTCTACTATCGCATCCATGTTTCTGCATACGTATCTGCATCTGCACCCGTACCCGCATCCGTAAATCTATCCGTATCTTTGCATCTGCTGAGGGAATGAGACGATGCAGCAAACATGTCAGCTCAACTCGAATCCGAATCCCAGAATCAATACATTAATCAGTCGAGCAAGCAAAGAGTCAAGAAATTCCATCATCAATTTGCAACTGCCATCAACTCATCAACAATAACAACTGCAACCAGTACAACTGCAACCAGCAATCCCAACTTAAATGCCAGAAATTAAATGCACCCAAACTAAAGCAAATAAACTCAAATAATTCTAAGTAATACAACTAAAAAATAGCCTAACACCACTCGAGGGCGAACAAAAAGCCACTAACTTCCATTTTCATATTAATTATGGAACATTCATCAACAATTTCGTTGTGTTTGTTCCATTGCAAAAACAAAAAGGTCGCCGATTGTTTGCAGCATCAACAGAAACACCAACGACCAGTGGGAAAATCAACAACAACTCCATCAACAAAATCAACCAGAAGACCAACAACATCAGCAACCCAAAAATCAAGAGCTTCTTGGAGAAGCGGCAACTTTAAGCTTGATTTCAACAAATTGCAGGGTAAGTGGAACTTGGGAAACAATTTGCAAGTGAAACGAAACGGAATGAAATGGAATGAACTATAAATAAAGCCATAGGCGTAGCCAGGACTTCCTTGAGGAGGGATTTCCAAACAAAGTTTGGAATAGAACATTTGTATATCACAGTGGCGAATCCAGGATTTGGTTCTGGAGGGGGACCTGAGAATACATTTTTTGTTTCATAGTTTTTAATACCCAATTTCTTTTCATTTTTCAACCGAGTGGGGGATTTATCCCCTATATGGGTGGCGAAAACCCCTCAAAATCCTTCTTGCTACGCCCCAAAATCCAGCGAATTAGCAAATGCAGAAATCTAATTTCTACACAATTTTCACAGCAGACAGTTGACTCAACTCAGCAAATATTCATAGATGCTCGTACAAGCATAGTATGTAGGCAAAAAAAACAGGATAAATTGCTGCAGTTAAAACTGATTCGGAGTCAATAGGAAATACTCTTGCTTAAAAAAGGATAAATGTCAGAATAAAACGAGGAGCAGAAGAAAAACCACTAGGAAGGGACTTTTCAAAGAGAAAGTAAAAAACTGTTTAAAAAAAACGTTATAAATGGAAAGTAAATCCAATTAAGTGCACTTGAACAAGATGCGAAATTTGATAGAGGAAATTTGTACAGGGAGTATTAAATATTTCGAAATCGAAGAATTTGTTGGTCCTGGAATTAGTTTGAAGAATCAAAATAGGTAACCTTTTCAATTGCAATTTATAATTTTTAAAATAATTAAAAATCAATTTATTTATTTTTTTATAACACCTAAAAAAATATCTTTAAGGATTTAAAAAACATTTTTTTTTAAATATTTGGCTTAACATAAAAGAAAATAAGTTTTAAAATATTTAAATTGCGTTTATTAAAAAAAAAAAAAAACACTTTAATATTTAGTTTCTCAAAGGTAACATGTCAGTTTTCTGATCACAAGAAAAATTAAATTAAATTCTGGTAACAAACTGAGGCACATCGTTGATATGCCCAAATCTAAGGAACTTGTTAGGGCAATGGAAAAACTTGCAACTTGTCAGAGTGACGCCTCGGCCAGCCAGCAATCAAATAGTGTCGAGCTCAGCGTTGTCGGAACTGGAAAAAGAAGGAAAACTAGCTGGAAAATTTAAAATGGCATCAGGGCAGCGGCAGCAGCAGCAGCATGAAAAACAGCAAATCGTCGCCGACGAATTTTCCCACCCCCTGATGCTGACCATTCGTTGTTGGTTGTTATGAATTTCATATTACACACGAAAATCCAATAAAAATCACCGAAAGCAATTTTCCGTCCAACGAAAAGTAGAGGAGTTACAGAATGGGGGTATAAAGACGTATTTGGAAATTCCTTGCCATCAGCTGCATTTTGACTGCTACTTTTTAGCTTTTTTTGGTGAAATACTTGCCACACACACGTTGCTGACCAAAAAATGTGTTTTATTTACTTCGTTTTTTCATGTCAACAACTTTTTTTAACCGGATGCGGAACACGATGCATTTTGTAGCGTTTTAAAACCAATTTTTTGTTTGGCTGTCGTAGTGTCGCAGTGCCAAAAGTTGCTTAATTTGATTTTAATTCACGACGGGAACACAAAATTGGCAACACCAAAAAATGTAGTTGTCGGAAAATTACGAATTGTAATTTGCTGGCTCCGCATTAATTAAAAATTCAACGAGTTTTCCCCTTAAATTTGTACGACAGCGTGGGTTTTTTATATTAAGGAAGGCTTCCATCTGAATTGAAACGTTCTGTTAATTCGTGGAGTTTAAATTGAGCTTGGTAGACATGTGACATTTTGGCTGAAATGTCCATTTCCCCAGTTGTCAGGGGCTTATAATAGTGTTCCATACTGTCCCCTGTTTCGCCGCCCCCTCGTTTGTTTGATGTACTTTTAGTTCCGCTTTTAGCCCAGTGCTCTGGATATCTCTGGGCTGGCTCCTTTGAATTCCAGTTGGTTTATTTCATTGCAGCCAAACTGTCGTATGCAAATCTGCTTTGCTGATTAAACCTAAATAATGTTGCTTCAGTTACGGAGCCTTTCCTTTCCTTTGCTGTGGCTCCTTTTTCCTAGTGTCCCTTTGGATGGCCTGGTATCCTTGGCTTCCCTGAATCCCCATCTCCATTTCCCACTACCCACAACCATCTCCGTCTGTATATCACATTGTCTTGTCTGTCGTTTTGGAAGATGGTCTGTAGTACTCTCTTTCTGACCTGACTAAAGGTTTAACCAGTTTGCATTCGACTTGGCGATGAGATCGGGAATTTATATTTACACTCAGCCGGTTTATTTACCAAAGATTGAAGTGCGGATTTGTTCGCAGAATTATGCTTTATTAAATTTCTCTGAATGCAAACTTCTTTCGAGGGCATTCGTCCTTCGTTTCCTTGGAAAATTGCAGCTGCCCTTATCCTTCTTTGGCTGCTGCTTATTTTGCTGCCTCGTTTTTCTTCCTGCTAAATCTGAGACAATTTCCAACTTATAAGAGGCCGCCTCCATTTGTATAATAACACACAGGGTCCTGCATCCTGCAGCAACAGCTTCCGCTTGCCGTGTCCTGGCCACTTGTTGTTGCCCACCCACACAGATGCAGCTGATGCACACACACAGACATACCCACTCCGAGGACACCCCAATGTATTTTTTTTGTATTTCAGTTTTGCATTGCAGGATGCCTTTGGTGTATTTCCTTTTAGCCTGTCTGCTGCACGAAGTACAGCATTTCCAATTTAATTTCTGTCTCAGTGGCCCCTCGGCTCCCCTCCCCCTGTCCCTCCCCTCATCCGCATCCCATATCCTGGCAGACCCGGTCGGGTTTTCCTGGCCGTGGCCATTGTCTTTGCCTTTGTTTGCTGTGCCATTTCCTTTTGCGCCATGAAATTAACTCGGTTCTCCCCCTCGCTCGCTCGTTTTTCCTCCCCTTTGCCTGCAATAGATTATAGTTGAATATTTTTGGTCGCCATTTTAATTAAACTGCGCCATTGGCTGCGAAATTGTTTATAATGTCAGCTGCACATCATCCTCATCTCAGCGTCGCCGCCATCATCGGCATCCGGATCTCCCTTTCAGCTCCTACTCATAATCGTTGTCATCCCCATCCGCTCGCCATCACCATCATCCATTGGCAGCCTCATTACCGATGCGACCCAGTTGAGGGGCAACAGGCGGCTGGGGATGGGTTCGTGGCTGTATTTTCGGTTGCAAAGGTCAGGCTTATTTTGATAAGAAAATAACATAGTTGAGTGATCTTTAGCTCTACTTAGTATCGAAAAAAAAATATAATTATTGGAAGGTTTTCCAGCATTATCGTTGTTCAACAAAAATGACACTGAAATCATTTAAAAGGTGTCTAAAAGTATGCAACACATCTTTAAGGATTTCGAAAAAGTATAAATGCAATGTTTTTGTGTTTATTTATACATTTCCAAATGAAGAAAACATTTTTCAAATGGGACCATTTATTAAAAAGTTATGAGTTATGGAATTCAGGCAGAGCAAGCAGTTGATTTAGCTGACTAAGGGGTATCTAATAGTCGAGGTAACACTTTGATGTGTTTTTGGATTTAATTAATCAAATAAAAACACCTCTTAACGAGGTAAAAAACTAGTGACGATCGCGCCTTCAACATACAAAAGTTCTGATATCAACATTTGTGACGAAAAATTATTACACTCGTCATTAAATAGACTTTCTAATCTTTTCTCATTCGGCCCGCCCTAGCAAACTATTCCAGCCTTTTTCCCTTTACAGGCATTTTCTATTGCAGCGTGCCGAATGAGAAAATATTAGAAAGTCTATTTAATGACGAGTGTAATAATTTTTCGTCACAAATGTTGATATCAGAACTTTTGTATGTTGAAGGCGCGATCGTCACTAGTTTTTTACCTCGTTAAGAGGTGTTTTTATTTGATATCAGAAGTTTTTGTTTGTTTACATTTGCTCTCATAGGAGCTAATATATACATTTAAATTTAAATTGGTAAGCCATTGTATTAAACGAATTAAGTTAAAAAGGCGATGAAGTATATCAAAATACCTTTTAAACGAGTTATAGCACATGGGTGTACCTTTAGTAGTGTAGAACTTACAAACTAACGAAATTGAGCTATTTTTAGCTTTTTTCCCGCTAAAGTAGCGGCTTTTTCCAAAAGTCGTAGAACAAAAGATTTCTATATGGAACTCTTAAGTGCAAATTTACTGATTCCATGACCCTAAAATACAGTTCGTATACCCTCACACAAAATTCAATACTAAGGGAGTGTTAGTTGCTCGAGCTGGCAAAAGTGGCTATTTTCGTATAAAAATAACTTTTAAACGTGACTTTTTACAGTAATGTGTTATATACCAAAATTTAAGGAATCTCAAGGGCTATATATTTTAAAGTTGTAAGGAAAATCGTTAGAGCCGTTTTTGAGAAAATTAAAAAAGCTAAAAAAAGTTTAAACAAATTTTCTTTTGTTCATATCTTTTTAACTATTACATTTACACAAATTGCATATAGAAGGCGTTTATAGCATTTAAAAATACCTTTCAAACGAGATGCAGCACAAGTCTGTAGCTTTAGTAGTATAGAAGTTACGGCTTTCCGAATTTTAGCTATTTATAGCTGTTTTCCCGCTAAACTAGCGGGTTTTTCCAAAAGTGGTAGAACAAAAGTTTTTTATATCGATGTGATGAACGTCATATCAAATTTTCAGAACTTAAAAACATATTTTGGACAAGTGGACAAACAGAATTAAATTTTCATTTTGGGAAGAAGAAGAAAATCTTATTTTGGCTATAACTTTTGAACGGAGCGTCGGATTTTGACAAATGACCCCTCATTCGACGGGTATTTTCAAAAGCAATACAACTAAAACATTGCGAGGGGGCATTTATCCCCACCGGCCCCAACAGCTCCAAATTTCGAAATTTTCACTTTTTCACTTTCACCGCTCTCTCCCAAGCCAATTGATTTTCTTAGAGTCTTGGTATGCAATCCTGTTAGTTTTCGCAATACCTTTCGATAGGTGTATCATTCATTATGATCGGACCATCACAGTAGATTTTCATTTCTTCGTGTATATATAGTAGTCGCCTTCGCACACTCTCCTGGTGCGCTTCGTCACTACATGGACTGCCGTCCATAGTGATAAATACCACTAAAATAAAATTTTACAATTTTTTAAAGCTGTATTAAAATGCAATATTATAAATCCTATTATTCTTTATGCTTCGTGACTGCTCACGAGCCCATTTCGAGCTAGCAAAAAAAAACAAATAAGCTTCTTTCCGTTCGGCAGTTCTCTCTTCAGTGCACTTTTGCATTTCCCTTGTTGCTTGCGCTCTTGTTGTGGTGGTTGTTGTTGTAATTACATAGCACTTGTTGTTTTGGCTTTGTGCTAACAAAAGCCTTGACTCCAACCCACCACCGCCCACCACCCCACTTCAGCGAAATGCGCTCTCGAAAGGGAGAAGAGGCGCCAATAACCTCACTCGAAAGGCAGCGCACCAAAGTATGCAGCAGTATTTTGTCGAAATGACTTTTGACGTTCGCTCAATGCATTGCCATTGCAATGGCAATATTTGCAGCGTCCAAACGAGTGAGTGTGTGTGTGTAAAAGGAAGGGAATGGGTGTGCTGGTGTGCGTGCGTGTATTGAATGTGCATGTTTATCGCCACGTTAGCAGCTGAATGAATGAATGAATGAACGAATGAATGGCCAAAAGCGAGCAGAGGCGCCTGAGTGCGTCTGTCATTCTGCCAGCTTGTCAGTCGACGTTCCAATATCGAAAACACTCTAAATTCTATGCTGAAAGCTCATTTTACATGCAGTTTTACTTTGATTGGCTTTCGAATCGCACTTAGCCGCTTGATTAGCCAGCTCAACGAACATTACGCAGTCAGTCAGAGTATGGTTCTGACACCGAGCAAAATATCACCGAAATTGCTCTTAAATCGATGTAATATTGAGGCGAGTAATTCTCTCTCTCATCTGAAGAAAATATTATGACAAGAAATAATATTTTTGCAAGAAGTTCACTCTTTTGGAATAAAAATTAAATAAAGAGACTATGCTGATATTAAACATTATTTAATTAATAATTGCACATACTAATAAGCTTTAGTGCGACTCCTAAAATACATGTTTTAATTTATGACTCATAAATAGTATTTAAATTTAAAAACTTTTTGGTTACGCTAATGGAAAAAAAAAATCATTCATGCTGCATGGAACGGATAGAGCTGAATTTTTCACTTGTGTATTAGGGCTTACATTGTCTAAATCCCTGGCAACTAAGCCGCTAAGTGGATTCCCTTGAGCATAATTTGCAGCTGGCTAAAGCAAATTTGTGCAGCAATCTCCTGCCAGGCCAATGTGTGTATGTGTGGCCACCAAAGGGTTCAATTATGAACCGACGACCGCAAAAAGTTGAAACCTCAAAGCGGATATAGTGAGGCACTTGTGGCGCACATCGGTGGCAGGGGGAAGGTGGCAGTAGGTAATTTGAGGCCTTGTGGAGTGCGCTAAAAAATGCAGCCACCAGATGTGCAAAGCTCCAATCCACAAGGGAGCCAGATTCTTTGCGGGATTCCATTTTTTTTTGCTTCTGCCCCGATTTTTATCGCGCCTATGTGGCCTATGTGGGAGCATGGAAAAACTGGGCGGGGTATAGTCTTTGGGAGGGGGTCAAAAGGGGCTCTTACTCCTTCAATTTCAAGGCTCATTGTGTACGACGGCTGCCTCTCATCATTGGCGAAGCATTAAATTGACTTTGAAACTTTTTACCTGCCAGCTTTGTGCCAAAAACGCCCGCACCAAAAACAACAAATTGGAGGGGAACTGAAACTAAACTTGAAATTAATTAACCGCGACAAGGGCGAGGGGCCCTGAGCACCCCACCATTATAGCATTTTACCATTTCACCTCAACCCCGGTCCATGCTTTTCCTACTCTTGGGAAACTCACGCACACGAACATAACTCATAAAACCTCTAATTACACAAACAGCTGACGCAGCCATAGACAAAGATATAGAGCGAGGGGGGTTGGCAAGGGGGCTTACTTCCTTTTCGAGGGGGAGAAGTGCTAAGAAAGTGCCCCTCCTTCTAGAACCCACCGCTCGGGAATCAAATAAGTTGAATATTTTAATTTTCCATCATAATTAATGCCCTTTCAACCTTCCAACCCCCGGACTTAGTTTATCACAGATGATGCGGTTGCTAAACCTTCCCTTCCTGCTCTCACGCACACTTATCCAACCACCACCCTCTTCTTTCCCTTTCCCGCTGTGACCATCGAGCACGTGTAAATTATTGTGGCTTTCTACGGCACTGATGGCCGGCGCCTAAAAGCATGCTGCGATATTTACACCCAGTAGCTGGGAACAAAATGGCGGTTATGTGTTTGGGGTTCAGTTTGTAACAGGTGGATAAAAGGGAGCTCTATATGTTGCTTTAGATTTCACATTACCTTGCTGCTTTTAATGGCACCCAAAAAAATCGATATGAAACGTATATAGATTTTACATTATTTAAGATTAATTTTATATGCGGTCAGGTAAATTTTACCTGTTCGAAAAAAGTATTTCATGTAAAAACGATATGGGTATATCGATTTTACGGGACATGTATTTTTTTGTGTGTGGGAGTTGTTCTTACACGAACTTTTCTTACTAAAAGTATTTTAAAGAAAACTAAATTGTAAAAAATGTATGACAATTCATTGGGTAAAATGCTTTTAAATGTCATTTTAATCTTTTCAATCTTTAATCCACCATTGATAACTTGTTATATTTCCTATTTGTATGAAATTTTTTTCATATTTTTATATAGACTAGAAATGCCTCAAGGAGTATGTTCAAGTGCAGTATATCTACGCTTTCATTCCTATTTATTTTTCGCTGTTCTGTGGCATCGCGGCATAGCAGTTCATGCCACACGCAGCCTCGATGCCGCCGTAGCCGCATGTATTTCAATTACTGCATTTCTCGGCTCAATGCCCGGCCACGCCCCCTCCCTGCGAACCGCCCTGCCACGCCCACCCTGAAAGCCCAGTAGCCACTGTTTTAATTTGCGCTTCGCCTGCTTTTGTTATTTTTCTGCTTCGGTTTTCCCTTCGTGCTTTTTTTTTGTTGTGTTCGACTCGCGTTTTTACGCAAATTCATTGTTTTAATTTACTCAAGTTTGTTGACCGAAAACAAAAACTAATCAATGGGTGGCTCGGTGGTTTGGGCTTTGGTTTTCGTTTTGGTTTTGGCGGGGTTATCGAAGTCCTGCAAGGTGACAGAGCAGCTGCACCTCTTCTCACACTGGAATTGGGTTAGAAAAACGGCGTAATGGGTCGCTCTCTCTGGCAGAATGTATATTTTTTAATTAAACATTAACTCAGCTAAAAGTTTTTGTTGCCATTTTTTTTCTGTGTTCATTCCGTTTTTCAGGTATTTGTCTCTTTGCGGTCCTTTGCTTTGCGGTAAACAGTTTGATATCAAAGGACTAAACTGAGCCGGGATTCTGGTTGTGTGTGTGTGTGTGGGGGAAACCTCAAAAGCGGAGAAGATTGCGACTAAGGGAATTAAGGCAAATCGCGTTAAATGAGAAACGGGGTATCATCATCTATTGAAAGGGGACTAAGTACTTGGCTCAACGGGATAAACGAGGGAGAATTAGAGGGAGGATAATAACTAAAAGCGCTGAGAAGTAGTTTCTTTTAATGCACATTAAAATGGGAACATTTGGTTATAAGAAATTCTGAACAAGGGGGTAATTTTGGATTTTGTAATAGTTTTGGTTAAAGCAATTCAAATATTTCTTTATTTCTATTATGTCTGTTTTACCCCATTTTAAAGCTCGAACTAAAATTGAAAAATATGCCTTTTCTCCCACAGCTAACATCTAACAACTGAACGAAACAACGATACTAAGCTGTATTAAGAAAGATAAGTATCAGCTTCACCAGAAAATCAACCAGAACAACAACAACTGCTACCTAAGGTTTCTCAAACTGTAAAAAACAAATAACTCAAAAAACAAACGACCATATAAGCAAACCAGAAAAAAGTGCAAATTATGTAAATTATAGCAAAGGCAAAACGCAAAGGGAAAACCGAAAAGCAAACGAAAGGGAATTAGTCAAATAGAAGAGGCGAACAAAAAACACACAGAAATACATAAAAAATATCTGTGACCAGGCAAGACCGGAAATTAAATCTGCAACGCGGAACCAAAGAGGAAGAGGAAGAGCTGAGCAGAGCCACAAGACCACAACCGCAGGAAAATCCGAGGCGAGTAGACGGAATACGCGTGCCAAATATTTGCTCAAAAATACCAGAATAAAATAATAATCAAAGGCGCTGTGCTTCGAATTGAGAGATTCCAGTCTCATGATAACGACGTTGCACTGGGAGCACTGAGAACTTCGGGGGAACCCTACATTTCCATTGTTGAGCTCTGACCCACAACCACACGGCGCATTGTCTCGGTCTTTTGTGCTAATCATCGCTAGTTGGCAGCTCCGGGAGCAGGAGCCCTGGCCAACTATTTAGCCAAGGTGACGAGGCAAGGATTGCCAGGCACTTTGCAGCTCAGCCAGACCAACACCCATACCAACACCAACACCCATTTCGAAAGGAGGCGACGTAGCAGCAGCAGCAGGAGCAGGAGGGGCGGGGCAGCCATTCAACCCAAGAGCCACGCGATACAAACAAGCCAAGGACATGGACTCCCCGCTGCCAGCGTCGCTGTCGCTGTTTGTCCTGTTGATCTTTCTGGCGATAATTAAAGGTGAGTGCTCCACGACAACTATTCACCCGCCCATCCAATCTTGGCTCCCTTTGTATCCCGGCCCCGCTTTTGTTTGTCTTCCAGCGACGTTTACCTTGGCCAACAACTTTCCCTTTTTGGCCCCAGGTTTGCTTAGGTGGTCGCTAATTAAATAATTGTAAATATTAAAGTATGCGGTAAAACTTGGTCTCAGGTTTTTTTAGGGTAAAGTGCTCTTAATAAATGGGAAAACACTTGCATCTTTTATTACCTCTACAAATGGGTGAAGAAAACCTTTTTCATTTAATTACCTAGAATTATTTGGGATCTAGTAAAAGAAAACGTCAACGATTCCCAATTATTTTTTAAAGTTTTGTATAGTAAAACAATATAAAACATAACAATCGTTAAATTTCTTAAATATACCGATTTGTATATAAATCGATATGCGCATAGTAAATTTACCATATGGAATTGCATACGCATGTCGTTAAAATCTCTCTCTCTCTCTCTTGCCTAAAGTTATATGAGTGGAAGGGAGAAAGACACATTCGAAATTCTAACTGCCCTGTTGATTACATTTCGAACATATCGAATTGACGTGCCCGCATATCAAGTCGAAATGTATACCACAACGTTTCATCGATCAACGTTTCATATTTTTTTTGGTTTATATATTCCCCTTTCCAGACAATTTAAGAGACTCTCAAAGGCCCTTTTGGTTAAAGGTCAAGCATTATCTATGGACTTACAAACTTATTACTCCACTGATGCTGTTGACTCTGCCGGTTGTTGAACGTCTCTCCTTACCACAGACTAACATTTGCGTTAACAAGTGCTCGAGATTTTTTCGCTGAGAGTGGCGAAACTCGAACAAATCCCACTCATGTCGGCACTATCAATTTCAAATGCGAAATCTCCACTTCCACCGCGCATAAATCTTGCGGCAAGGTGACACTGCGTGGCCTTGCGAGCTGAATGGCGCCCATCCGCCCGCCCAACCGCCCATCCGACACATTATTCAATTCCGCATCCGATTTTTCAATTTCCTTGCGAGCGTTTTCACGGCGCTTTAAGCAGGCCAAAGAAATGCCAGCGGAATGTAAAAGTAAAAGCCAACCACCTACACTTGCAAACACGAAAACACTCAGCTACAGCCATGGCTATATCTATTATATAGGATGCTGTACTGTGTGTGTGACTATGTGCGGGTACATGCGGGAAATTCCCAGGCAGCGAGCCATAAATTCACATGGAGATCGCCCTGAGCCAAACTTGGCCATATTTTTAGTTTTCACTGCTCGCTGAGCTCCGCAATTGCCAGAAAAGCGGGAAAAAGTTCTGAAAAACAAAGACGCAGACGGGGGATGGAGAGGGAGGTTGGTTCATGCAGCGAAGGAGCCAAATATTCAAGTAGAAAAAATAGAATTGTCATGCGGAGGAGCCCCCAGGAGGCCGCACTTCAAATCCACATTCTTTTCCCCGGAGTCACTCGAGCACTCGTTGGAAAATACACACCAAAAGAGTGGAGAACAGGGAAAACAATGACCCCCCACCCGCACCACTTTCTGCCCTTTCCTTCCCAAGCGTTATACACAATATCTGTCTTTTTTAAGTTGCATCGAGAGTTGAGAAGTTTTGTGTTTTCTTTTTTCGTCGCTCCGGTCCGATGAAGTCTCATGTGCCCCCTTTTGACAAAAATAACAACTTGCGGCGCGGGTCGTTGCGATTCGACTCCATTTTCGTTGTTTGCTTCAAGTGTTTCCACTGCCGCTGCGTTCTGAATGCAACAAATTAAGTTCACATCCAGCTCAAAAAGCTCAAAAGAAAAATATAAAGAGATTAGGTTGACTTTCCAAACATTTCGAGAAGATGACTATCAGATATTCAGCTAAAAGAAGTGCGAGAGAGATTGCACTGCTTGAAATCCATTATTTGCTCAAAGCTTTTAAATGAATGGTCCAAATTTAAAAAATTTTTGTTTCCGAAATCTTTAAAGATGTGTGCGCCTGAATCCTTTTGTTCCTGGAAATGTTTAATAGTCATATAACAATTAAATTTGCACGCAGTCTCACTATTTTAATTGGAGACACTTAACACTTGAGTAGCTTTTGCCTAAGACCCGATAACAATAATTTTCCAGCTGCGTGAATTCATATTAAGCCCATGAAGTAGTCATGAAATAATAATTCAAATTAATATGTTAATGCAAAGACGACGTAATAGATAGCACTTTGTTGAGAATTTAACAAACAATTTAAGCCCGATTGCTTCCTGATGCAGGCCAGTGTAAGTGTAAGTGGTGTGGAGATGCAACCTCTTCCATTTTCGGGATCCTTTTGAAGAACCATTGTCTTCTTGCCGCTGAAAAGTTATTACTTAAGCATCGCCGGGGGAGTTGACGGGAAAATCTTTGACTTTGTCCCGACCCATTTCGCGATGTCTGCTCTTTATTTGGCCACCCACTTCCCCGAATCACTCGTTTGCACTCCTCAACATTCGTTTGAGATGCTCCGACAGAGACTAATGAAGACGGCAGTTTTCGGTTCCCAGTTCACAGTTCGCCGGGGATTGGGGGTCTTCAGATTGTTCGGCCAAAGACAAATATTTTCAATAAGCTGATATCGGAGTGTGCACTGATTGGAAAATCAGCAAAGGCATTGGGAAATTGCCGAGCGACGAGCGGGACAGCAATACGCAATTTTTCAGCCTTCAGCCATATTGCTTTTCTTTTTGCGTTTTCGTTTATTTTTTTTGTTCGCCAGTTGGCAAACGCATAAATTGTGCGGAAATTCGAAATTCGAGTCTGGGCTGCACCAACAGCACCTTGACACTGTCAACCATTACCGGGTATATATGGCCGGCCATATATTTTATTTTAAGACATTTTACGCATTCTCGTACATTTAAATGAAATAAATTTCTATTGGATTTGCGTGGCGAACCTTTTGAGCTTTAATTTCACTGCCATTTCACTCCCTCCGAATTGCGGGTTGTGCCTGGGATTACTCGGCCACAATGTATCTTTGTTAATATCCTTGTTAATATCCTGAGAACTGGCGCAGAACTTCTGGCAATGGGGAAACTTCTTCCATCTTCCATTGGCATGTTTCTGGCCCTGTCCTAAGCCAACTTTCGAAACTTTCCACCGTCTGTTCGGCCAGGTAAAGCGGATATCTCAGGCGAGGCAGGAGACTCCTACTCCTACCCAAACTGCTACTGTGACTCTAAATCTGAATTTGACTGTGACTGTGACTTTGGCTTTGGTGGGGACTTCCGGCCTCACCGCTCGCAGGACGAAACTTTCAAGGTTGTCCAGGTCCATGGTATCTGTATCTGCAACTATATTCGCATCTGTATCTGTGGACCAGGACAAAGGCGAACCAAGTTGCAGTGCAAGGAAATCAAGTTTCAGTTACGCGCTCTGCACTTCCGTGGCGCCATCGATGGACTAACCTTGCTCCGCTTTCGGCTTCCCTCTGTTGAGTTAGAGATGAACGAAGAGCTTTTAATACATTGGGTTTCGTAAAAACTTATTAAGATCTCTGAAACTATGCCTTGGAATTATTTGCCTCATAGTTGTATCATAATAATATAGTATTATGTAGGTACTTCAGAATAAATTTAACATAGAGAATAAATTTAAAATATATTTTGAAATAATTTTAGCGAACAGCATTTTGAAAATCTTAATGGCGTTTTTACAATTTCCACAAAAACATAAGTTACAATAAAAGCCTGATATATAATATGATAAGATATAATACGAGTATATGAGATCTGATTCGACATATGATATGATTATGATTATGATGCTCGTTATTGATATAAATTGATATTTTTGGGATGCATAAGGAAAAAGAAGTGGGAACTTTCGTTGAATACTTAATGTTGTTAATACCTTAATTATTTTTTTATTAAAAAATGATTTTATAAGATTTTATTGTAATATTTTAGGCACATCTAAATTTACATATATCTTAATTTACATGTACATTGTTCAATGCATTCGTGACTCACGATCTCAGTCCTTTGGTGGGTGGGTCTGGCGTAAATCCGCTTGGCCCTCCGCTCGGGGGCACCTGTAGGCATCGGGTTCGCCCAACTCCAGATCCGGTTCCTCCTCATTGTCATCCTTGAATGAGTCAGCGATGTCGCCACAAAAGTTTGCAAATAAGTATTTTTTATACTGCCAATCCGGGCATCTCTACCCCGCAGAATCGTAAAAAAGAATACGAGAGCGCGGAGGGAACTTAGTGCTGCGCCTAAATAACCGTAAACAGCACTCGTGGGCCCCTGAGAAAAAAAAAAAAAAACACCGAGGGTGGATAATACGGAACAGAGCAGAAACAAAACTTGATAAGCATAAATTTGCTGTAATTTAACGCATTCAATTACAAAAACAAAAAGGAAGATGGCGCAAGTAAGGAAAAGCCAGGGAAATGATGTTGGGAAAACAGGAAGATAAAAAGGCG